AAGATGACAACTACGGTGATGTCTTTACCAACTATATGGGCAGGAATAATGATTACAGTGACCAATAACTTACTGTAAACATGAACATGAGTATTAAGGTAGACTATAAAAATGTGAACCTATTCTTTAGCACACAGACAGCAACATATTAGTTGCATGTATTGCTCTGATTAAAGACCTCACTGGTCATTTTAACAGTGCAAAAGCAGAACTGAAGGCTCATACACACACATGCACAGGTCTGCCTTGTTAAAATCTCATGCATCAAATTCCAGCAACAGGGTTAAGTTACTGAGATTTTATGTTGCTGTCTCGATTATGAAGCTATTAAAATGCTAACTAACGTTAGCTATTAAATATATTAATCCACGTGCTAGCATTAGCTAATGCACACCAGAGCTATCCACCAAGGAAAATATTTCAAACCCAGAGTGAGCTCAACTTTAGTTAACTTACACAATTGTGTTGTCTTGCTAACAAAAATAAACTTACCAAGAAAGACGATTTTTGCTGGCAGTCTCTGCGTCTGTCCTCTCCTGCTTGTAATGTTACTTGCCAGTCACACCTCTTCAGCTCTTTTCACATTTAACTTCTGCAGGGAGCTGACCGGATATTCTTCTCTTCTGTGTTTTTTTCTTGTTATGTCTGAGGTGTCCATCTTCGCTAAGTCCGAGCCGGTAAAGTAAAACAAAGGAAACCTAAGAAACAAAATGATTTCTGGCCTAAACTAGCTTCCCTCTCAACGACACTAAACACGTTAACTTTGTGAAGCAGACTTTCACACTGTGTGGAAATCAGGCTGAAAGATGTGGCAATAACAGAAATAATTACAATATTTTGCAGTAGCCTACACAATGAAGCATTTTTGGCATAAATATATTTTTAACCCACTAAATGTGTAATTGTTTAACAATGTACTGCCACAAAGTACACCTAAATAGTATTTACTAAGTGTTAAATAAATATATTTTTAATAGATAGACTAAAATGTTGTGAACAATATGCTTTTATTTAAGCATATTTATTAAAAGTTTAATTAAGTATATATTTATTACCAATTTATTCAAAGTATACTTTTGAGAAGTATGTTAAAGCTCAGGAGAATATATCTTTAATATACTTGTAGTAAGCATGTTAGGAGTATGAATGTACTATAAGCATACTATGTAAATTTCTAGTACATTTTCAGTGCCTTTAAGAGCACTTCTTTTTGACCTGGGGATCATTCCCTGACTTACTTTGGATTATCTTTTCATTTTGGATTTACCTTTGCTTGGACTCTTGCCTTGTGTTCTTTGGAAATATGTTCAGTATAGTTTTTGTATATATAAATATTTTTGAATTGCATCCTCATCGCCATGGTCTGCATTTGGGTCCACACCTCAGCCTTTCCATAACAAGAGTAGCACATAAGTAAACTACACCATGAGCTTTGGTGATGCATCATGATAACTCTGACCACATCCCCATTTTTTGGTGTCTGTTGGTCTTGTGATTGTCATCTAAAAGTAATTTGGTCAACTTTTTAGGAAGTAAAGCACTGACAAATATTTTGTCCATGCAAGTCTCAGAGCCATGTAGATATTTCATAATGGAATTGTTGATATTGTGTGTATGAGTTTGAATATGCAATTAATTACAGCAGCTATACTATAATACAATTGGTAACGGGTTTTTAATTTGACGTTATGTTTTCTTGGTTTTGTCAGATTATAGGAGTTTGTTGACTAACTCTTAACCGCTTTGTGGCTTGAGCACAAGTGTCACAAGAACAATGTAGAATTCAGCTGATTCAGCCAATGGTAATCTCAAGATCTCTTGCTGTTTTAATGGCTTTCATTATAGAGCCTTGAGTCTGTCATTTAACATTGACATTATTGTCAGTCATCTTTAGGCGTTTATTATTACATTAATATTATTAGAACCAATTTTCAGTAGTGAAAGAAGTACTCTGGTCTTTTACGTAATTAAAGAGGGTTTCTACAGCTCACAAGCCCCTCAGCAGGCTTCCTGGAAGTTGGTCAATCAGAAGAAAGTGGGCTTTTAGCAAGGGGAGCCTTAAAACAGCTTGTTTCAGAGAGGATGAACTGAATGGCTGCGTAAAGGATCAGTTTGAGATAATATTTTTTTTACTGTGAATCATACAAATACTGACACATTGAGAAAGCCTGACAAAGCGTTGGTATTTGATGGGCAGGGTACCCTTCAGCATCCGTGTTACAACCCTAAGGGTCATGTGTTTGGGTTGGGGTGTGTTCCTTCTCTCTCTCAGGTAGTGGCCCTATCCCCCCATACCTCAGCTGCATGAGTGAGTGGCAGCTGATCACCACTCAGTGCCTGGAGGATAAGAAGTCTGTTTCCCTTCCTACCGGTTGTGACCACACTGCAGACCAACACCCGTGAGCAACGACTGCCAGCCCGTCAGCCCAGTGGACAGGGGCAGCTTATTCAACCAGTAGGTTGAACACCAGTTTAGATCTTCTGTGAATCCAGAACAGTGTCTGGTTTTAACCTCCTCAGTGGAGAGAGGACTTTTCAGCTGTTCATTTAGTGTTGAACCTTGCTCCCTCAGTTACGTAACCTGTCTTACCTTGTTGGCTCGCTGTCTACTTTTGAGAGAGTAGTTTTTGTGTTGGTTTTCCTTTGTCAATATTGCAATAAATACACTTTTTAGTTTGCACCTAACCCTGACTTCCTGTCCTCTTTTGCCCCGGTTTTATTTCAAATATTGTTGCTCCTCCTCCCCTGAATTTACCATCCGGAGGAACGTAACAGTCCATATGAGACAAGAAACTTTCGAGAAACTCCAATGTAACCCATCCGCTCACACATAATGTACTTATTTCAACCCAAAAAACCTAACCATCTAGTACTGCATGTAAACCAGATATTAAAAAGGTGTTTCAAATGGACACTAGAGGGTACCTTGTGCATCAAATACTGAAGCTTTGTCAGGTTTGCTTAAAGCATCTGTATAGAAATACAGAACTTTAAATGAACATAACACAACCCTTTAATACCGTCTAATTTTGTTTTTGAGGGAACTCAATTCAGTGCTTCTCAAGACTTGGTAAAAGTACCAATAGGCTACAATAATGTAAAAATACTTTATTATAAATTCAGTAGTTGTACTACTTCATGTAAAGTTTAGTCCAGCGGTTTCAAACCTACTGTTCAGTTCAGGTCCCCTCCCCTAGGTCCTGAGATGATTAATAATTAGAAAGAAGAAAAACAAAGTTCTGCATAAATCAATTGATCAATTTCTGATCATTTTAGCTGTCTGGGTAATTCATTAACCATCTGAGATAAGGAATAAGGACTAAAAAAGCCCCCCCCCCCCCCCCCCCCCCCCCCATCCTCATTCCCCAAGTATTATCTTTAACAATGTGTTATATATGATTATTATACATTATCTTTTTATGTAAAATCATGATCTAAAAGGCAACTACTACTGTAGGCTACATTATTTTCTACTGAAATGTAGCAGCCAGTTAAAGAAGCATAAAATGACTATAATTCAGCACTGTAATAAAGAACCTTCCTCAGCGGAAAATTCATCAACAGTGTAATCATTTAGGACATGTAACATTTACATTTAACACAGGCTGGGTTCGCCTACAACTAACAGATTTTAACCAAACATTATTAAACCAATCTAACTGCCATTTATGACATAGCCTACTGTAATGAAGTGGTCATTTTCTTACCTGTCAAAAATGTGAGGTGGAGAAGCAGAAGGGCAATAAGTATCTTCACCTTCATCATTAGCCTCTAATGACACAACGATCCTGGAGAGCAACAGCGTCTTATCGTAAAAGACGCGATTCATGTAATCCGCACAAAGGTTAAGCAAACCAGTCGGAAAATGAAACTGATAGAGGAGATGGAGCCTAGCTTACGCACACCCGGAAAATTCCCTTACAAATCACTTTAAATAGCCCAGATAAACTTTTCCTGTTTATATTAGTTACGTGAGCTACGTGTTCACTGCACTTGAAAAAAGGCACTTAGCATACCGGAAAAGACCTCAATGATCTACCAGAAATTAACATATAAAATGTACATACCTATATATGTAGCAAGATTTCTGTTGCCTTTTGTTCATTTGGCAACCATAGACATGAAATAATCCATATCTAGCACGTAGTAGCCTATAAAGAATATCATGACAACAACTTTTTCTCTACCGTAGAGAAAGCTGTTGGCTGCTGGATGTTGATCAACATCATATTCCAAATATCGCTTGTTGCTACAGATTGTGAAGCCCTTTGAGTCACACGTGTGGTAGCCTATGTGATTTGGGGCAATATAAATGAAACCACATGATGGTAGGCAGTCAGGAAGTCAGGCATTTGTTAACTCTATATAGGCCTAATTTTTTTTTATTAATTTCACTGAACTATTAAATAATGTATGGTCAATTTAATGTGTGGTCAATTTAATTCCCCAACATTGAGGTTTAAATACTGAAGCCCTTTTCACACTGCTCAATTCTGGTGGGAAGATATTAGGCTACATTCATAATATGGCTGATTATTGATGCTTTCTGAATGTGGTGGAAGAAGTATTCGGTTCTTTTCCATTAAAGTAGGCTACTTACACCACCACGGTGGACCTCATTTTTAACTGTTTTGTATAGGACCGCAACTAATGATTTTTTTTTAAAAGGTTCCTCGCCTGATTATTTTAGGGTTGGTAGAATCATAAAAGTTTTTTGAAAAATTAGTATGACGATTATTAAAATAGTTGAGAATGAATTTTTCTGTCATGTTACTATTAACTGTTGGATAGTTTTATTTAGGCCTATAAGGAAACATTAGGCTACATTTCACAAGTTCATATGTTTTGTGTGAGTGTTTTGTAGGCGTAGGCTACTTCAGTAAACCTAGACCCTACTTTGTAACATTCCCCCACTATAACTACAAGATGAAACTTGAACTCATAAAACCTGTTTTGTTGTAGTTTCGAGTCATCCGCATGATACCATGAGGCATTGAGACGCACTGCACTCTGGAAACCCGGATCGGTGCGTGCCCTGCGTGGGTGCATTGCTAAGGGCAACCGCGGCTCTCCCGTGCTCGTCTTGATCTCTAGCAGCTGCAGCGACGCAGGGAGAAGAGATAAACGGTGTCCATAGCTTCATCCTGTGAGAATTTTTGTGATAGTTTGAGGGAGATGACGGACATACTGAGGCTGGTGTCAGAAGCGGACACACGGACTTTACCTACTCTCGCCAAGCTCTCAGAAAACGGTTCGACAAAAACTTGTGTCTTTTTTTTTACTAGTACCAGTGTGATAAACTCTTAATTCAGCTGCTAGTATTTCATATCGCATACACTGCAAATAAAGTGTGCATGTGTGTCATTCACGACGTCACATTCACGATGTGTTTGTGTTTTTCAGATATTAACAGTGTCTGGGCTGATGTATCCACCTACATTGAACGTCAGATGACCTTACAGAAGGTTAGCCTTTCTATTTGCCTGTATATCTATCTGTCTGTCTAGTTTCTATCTATCCATCAATCCATCCATCCATACACAGGGGGTCCATCTGGCAGGACTGGGGACCTTCACCTTCTCTCAGCAGAAGTTGGACATCGGAAACAAGTTCACAATGATCCAAAGACCCATTTTCCTCCTGGCTGGGAAACTAGTCAAGTCTCTGGGTTTAAAGCAGGTCAGACCACTGGCTGCAGGTGAGGACACATTTAAAGAAGAGCCATTAAAAGAAAAGCAAAATGAATTTATGTTGTGATACAGTAGGCCTATAATATCAAGCAAACACAATATTAGAAATTCTTTATGTGATATCATTATGTGTTCTAGAAAGTTACCAAGTGAATAATTGTTGTTGCTGTAATCCTATTTATAGTAGCAGTAGGATAAGTTTGACATTTTGGGAAATATGTTTGCTGGCTTTCTTGGAGAATGATACCATGTAGTCCGAAGTGTGAAAACCCAAATTGCTTCTTTATGGGGTGTTACGTGCCAGACTGCCTTAGACAGGACCAGTTCAGAAGAGACGCAAAGGAGTGTTATGACCTGGCTCAAGTTGCCACAACAAAAGGGAGACACACCATGGTAAACATTTAACAAAATATGTTTATTTAACCCAAAAATATGCCAAATTCACAACTGTGCCGAATTAAAGGCGTTAAAGTATGGTGTATGAACATCTATGGTTTCAGTAAAGTCAGGGCAGGATGATGGATGCATGGATGGATGCATGGATAGGTGTGTGTTAGGGTGTTGTAATGTGCAAAAAAACACAACTAAAGCAGCATTTTTCACACACAGGAGGAGCCTGTGGAGAGAAACAGAGGGGAGTCAGTTAGCAGGGAGGTCTGTAACCTCAGCACAGCAGCAGCCCCCTGAAGAATGAGAACTAGGAGTTATAAATACAAAGGTGCTCGAGTTACTGCAGTCAGCCTCAGCTCTTCACCTGCAAGGGAGAGGAAGGAGAATCTGATGACAGTTGGTGGTTTGGTTGCTGTCAGTCAAATCTGATCAAAACACAATTACACAGTGTTTTGAAAAGAGTTTTTTCAGTGTTAAACTCTTAACAATAACTTAAGATGTTTTTTATGGTATAGAGAAATACTTGAGTTTAAGGCTTTAAGTATAAACAGGGTGGAAAGAAGATATGCTGCACAATCATAGCTGCACTCATTAAAATAGATATACACAAGATTTTGATTTGAATCTTATAGTGGGGATCATACACGGTAACAGATAAGCAAACAGGATTTATGTGTGTGTCCCTTGCAGCAACACACCTACCAGTGGTGCAACTGAACTTTGCAGCTGTGTCACAAGAGACTCCTTTCAGTCGAGACGTGGTGGAGGGCTGCATTAGAGAAACTCTTCTGCTCCTCTTCAGAGCTCTGGCCTCTGAACAAAATGTATTCCTCACCTTACAGGGAATTGGAGTTTTGTCCTTTAAGAACAACAAGGTGGTTTGCCCACTCATGCTGTATTTGTTATGCTGTGATTCACATTGTAGCTGGATTATGACCACTGACTGGTTCGTTATATATAATCTCATTTGATTTTGTTCAAAGGTGCGGATGAAGTTCAACCGAGATTTTATTAATGCCATGGATGGAACTGGCAGGCTGCTGTTAGCCTTTAACAAAGTGAGTATAAAGAAGTGCGTGTTTGTTTGCATGTTACAGTATATATTGAATATACAGTATATGCATTTGTACAGATCATTGGTACATTTGCTTTTTCTAGAGACCTGGGAGCAGTGTCTCTTTACTGTCTGGTGGCCTGTCGAGGCTTCAGAGGCCACCGACTGCGAACCCCATAACCCTGCCAACTGTCTGCTCTCCTCAGCCAGACAACAAAGCTGGTGACAAAGATCTATGGTGCTTGTCACCAGCTCCAGACCTGAGGAATGCAGGAGGTGAAAGAGCTTTTAGCGTCAGGCTTGATAGCATTTTAATGAGTCTAAATTAAGTATTGAATCAAGTCCAAATCCTTCCAAATCTTGCTGATTTGCAGCCTCAATGAGGCTGAGCTGGAGAGGCAGTAGCTGTAGAAGCTGAAATGAACATGATGTGGCAGAAATTATGTTAATTCTCATTTACCATATAGGCAATGTGTATTAAACTGTTTGGAAGAGTAGTTATCATCAACATTGTGGGAAATAAGGCCTATTTGATTTCTTGCCAAAATATTAGCCAGCTTTTATATCTCTCTGTTAAAATATGATGCTACAAGCAAACAGCATAGTATAGACTGAAAGCAAAATATTGCAGGCTCTTTCCAAAGATAACTAAAATCACCTTATGGTAGTTCTGAACTCACTAATTAACACATCATATCTCGTTATTTAAATCTGTACAAAAAACTAAGCGTAAAAATTTGTTTGTATCTATTTGTATATTTGTTACTATTTATTGGTGGGCATCGTGACAGCATATAAATAGCACGCCAAACATTCAGTGTCACACATTTTAAGCTTTTTGCGTGTTATTTCATGGTGTTACAGATGGCACATTTTATGAGTTTTGGACGTGCAAGAAAGGTCAAGTCAGGTGACCTATGTCATGATGATAACAAGTTTGGCAGGTTTAAATGCAACAAAACTACTTGGCTGGGTGTAAGCGTAAAAAGCATAATTAGCATAATTTTATGTCAAACTATTTCTTTAAGCTGCATTGTTGCCCTTGAAAATGAACTTGTTGGACCAGCAGGTTGACACAAAATGACTCAAGCTTTTACTTTCAATTTGGTGTACGACAGGCAATGTTTAAGATTGGACAGCTTTAATAAACAGCTAACAAAAGACTGGAGAAGCGATTTGTTAGAGCTTAATGAGTCTAGGCATTTTACCAACTTGGAACTGGTTATTGAAACCCATCTCTATTAAAAACAGAATTAATAGGGGGAACGGTGAACCTACTCAGTGTGTTCTGTGTCTCTACAGAGGTTCCCCAACAGAGAGAATCTAAATCCCATCAGACACTGCAGCCTGCCAAGATGAAAGCTGACAGCCTGTCTGAAGAACTCAATCCAAAACCCCCTATGGAGGCCACAGACAAGTACTACACACACAGAAATACACAGACAGACAAGTACACACACACTATGGAGAGGTTCAGATTGCAGTGTACAGAGCTGTTGTTTGCAGGTAGATGAGTCAGTGAGAGCTGAGAGCTCAGTGGTGGTCTTACATTGTTACTGCCCAGAGGCAGCTTCCAGCTCCATCAATGATGCACAACCTGTGGGGCATTATGTCCCTGCACTGTCAGCATCCACACAAATGCCCCCCCCCCCCAAACACAGTCACAGAGACTTGTAATCTGGGTAAATTGTCTTGTTAAAGAATTCCCTTTTGAAACAAATTTGTAAATCTTGCGATCACAGGAGGGAAGATCCTCCCTATAGTTTCCAATGATTTCCCTGCTGTCTTTAATATTGTTGCAACTCCACTAAGACCCTTTGTGCACAAGCAAGTGTTAGCTGAATTTCAGTGTCACTACTGATGACAGTACTCCAAATTAGGACCACTTATTCTATTATAAAATCCTCAGAAACAGAGCCCCCTTCACATCTCAAACACATGCACATGGTGCAAAAAGGCCTAATCTTCATACAAATACAACAGCTGTATTTACTTTGTGATTAAGCTACTGTGAAGAAGTTGTTTTTTCTTTTTTAATACAAAAGTTGTGATTCCTTAAATTTGCATCAAACACTGTAGCCTATAATAGGTTTATTTAGTCAGTTTAAATTAAAATTTCCTTCAGTACATCTTTAGATTTAGGAAGTATCCGACAAATGTACATATAAAATAATATGTGCATGCAGGCATGTCACACAACATCAATATAATGTCCCATTATGAATTTCATTTAAATTTCTAATGCACGAGGAAATCACACTGCTTAGATGTTATTCTCTTTGATGTACAGTATATAGTAAGAATCTGTTTCCACTTACAGGCCAACCACCTGTATCTCACCACCTCCCAAACTGGAGGAACCTCATGTGAATGCTAGCTGCTCTGGCCACTCCCGTGCTGGACAGGTGAGTGTGTAGGTGCTTTCATGTATCTGTGTACTGTGTTTAACTGTAAAGTGGTTGTTCAAGGTAGATTCCCTTTCTTGGTGGAGTGACTAGGAAGTAAGACATTTGATGTTATTTATAGGGAATTAGGTTTTAATGCTATTATTCTATGAGTATAAAATTGCCTTGGAAGTAACCTGCCCTTCACCCAGTGAGTGCTCTGCCGGGCTCTAGCCCTCCGAGACCATAAACAGAATAAGTAGTTTAGAAAATGGTGGGATTGAGAATGGAATTACATTCAAAGTAAGTACAGCTTGACAATGTAATGTTAGATGTCAACCTTAATTACTTTTAGGAAAGCACGTGTCTCTGTCCAGGGAGCTGTAGGGATGTCCCTAAATTCAGAATATTATATAAACCACACAAAACTAATTATTTATATATGAAAGCCTGTGAGAAAATAATTATATATTTACATTACTAATTAATTACAGTGTATAATTGTCAGTTTCTGGTGGCTTGTCATCACAGGAGCTGTGCTACCTTTGTATGCAGCGAGAACAAAGAAACGTTCCAGTCTACCTGAGGGAGCAGCAGCAGGCAGAAGAGAAAGCTCAGGAGAAACTCCTACTGCTTAAAGAACAACAAAGAGACAAGCAGTACATGGACGAAGAACAGGTGTGTGCACTTGGTGTGTTTGAGTGTTTTTTATGACAATAAGTGTGTTCAGGCAAAAAGTGAAGCTCATTTTCATCATTTGAGCATACTTAACTGCTGGACTGCAGGAGTCTACAGTCATGCCTCCCAGTGTCTAAGTATGGCGTCTTTGAGCTAAATGCTTTTGTCGGCATGGTAACATGCTCATAATGACAATGCTAACATGCTGATGTTTAGCAGGTACAATGGTAACTGTGGTCACCATCATAGTAGCATTTTAGCATGCTATAATTTGGTAATTAAAATAAACACAAAGTACAGCTTAGGTTTTGCAAATATTTGGTCATAAACCAAAGCAATGGCTAAATTTTGACCTGATGACGGTGCCACATGAAAAGTAAGGGCATCACTGAAGTTGTTGCAATTGATCGGAACATGAATGTCTGAACTAAATAGCAGTTGACAAGATTGTGGCTAAAACCTATGATTATGTGGGTCAAGTGGGCAAGGATTTTAATACAGTAAAATAATTATCTTCCAAATTTTGAAATGCTTGAATCAATATACATACAGTAGACAAACCCTTTTTTTAAATTTAATTTTGGCCACTTTTTAAATACCTATTTCATACTGTCTGCTACAAGTTACTGTATGTTACTGTGCTCTTGGGATGTCAAGAGAAAGTAAAAGCTGCAAAAAAAAAAGAAAAAAAACATCTCAACAATTGAGGAGTTAGGAGGGTGGTTCTAGACTGGTTGGGGCCAGAGAGCTGAGAATAGAACTACATCCTGTTTGCAGTACTGGGAAAGAAGGACAGGACATGTGGAATAGTAAAATTCAATATGAAACGACTTAAAGTGTGTGTTGTTGTTGCCAACAATAAATCATGGTTCAATAAAACAGCCTTGACATATAAGATATCACAATATCCTTAAGAATCGATTAATTGGCCAAAGAAACTGCAAACAGAAAAGTTTTTTTTTTACCCTGCTGAATATGATGTGTCATGCTCTCAATGTCTTTTCTTTTTCAGTCAATGTGATGATAAAAGGTGTGTGTTTTTGTGTGTTCATCTGACAGGCAAAGCTGAATGAGCAACGTGAGCATGCAAAGCTAGTTGCTACATTCAACCTGCAACTGTCAGAGAAGAAAGAGAAGACATACTGTCCTCTCTTCCCTGTGAGTAGAACCTGGACATTTAAGTTGCAGTCCTAAAGATTTCAGTCCTGGTAGTCCTGTTCTATCTGTTTACAGTGCAATACAGTACTGTTTACAGTCCTGCATTGTTTTAATAAAGAAGTCCTTAACTGTTTTTTTCCCGCAATCTGATTTTATGCTGCATATGGCACAGCTAGTTTCCCACACAACAACAGGGCAAAATAAAAGTCTTTCCAGCGTTGGTGGTGAACAGATAATGACCTGACTGAATGATGACTTGTTTAGACACATTTTTGATAAACCATCATGGTTAGCAACTTTGCACTTACCTTGATGACAAATACACTGTGTTTTCTGTGACTGCTTCACACTAAAAAGTCACCCTGAGATTCCCAGTTAAGTTTTTAATGGGAAGCAGAAACAGTACGTTTGGTTTTGTTTGAGCAGCATCTTAATACAGCTATGATACGGCTGTCATATAAATGAGGTAAATTTATGCTGTGAATTGTTCTTTCCATTGTGCAGAGAGGCAATTATTGAACGTAAACACATTGAAATTGCCTGATAGCATACTGGTTTTGCGTGGAGCGAAGTAAAAACAAGCTACTTACTTACAATCGATTTAGAACAGCCTCAATAACAGCATCTATGTTGTTGCCATTGTTGTTATTACTCCTCCTTGGTTTGGGTGCACAGCAGGGCATCAGACCTGCCCACAACCACAACGCTCAGTGGATCAAGCGCTTTTTAACCAAGAAGCCATGGTTTCATTTCATTATGCCAGGCAAGAATCAGTCAATTTGGTGGAGAGGAGACATTCAAAGGTCTGGACCCAGGCAAAAATTGAATGGCTATTGTACTTTTTAAGGATTATTTTAAATAACACTTTATTTTACAACTCTTGTCACTCACTGCATCTTTTACAGCAATGGCTTTTTAAAATTCAATATCTTGTTTGGACTGCTTGTGTTTAGACTTCATTCATCTTCCCGGCTCGGCCAGTTACTCCTGTCAGGAGGATTCAGCAGCATCGTTACATGAACGAGCTTCAAAGCCAGATAGAGAGCCGGCGGCAACACGAGGCCCGAGACCAGCAGAACCGTCTTCTCATGGAGCATCTAGACCAGGTCCAGCTGGCTCAGGAGTGAGTCTGTAAAAGATGTACTGCTCAGGCATTTCAAATGATCATGAGTTGTGATAACCAGTGTGTCATCTGGTGTGTGTGTATGTGTTTTAGGATAGCTTTGCAAAAAGCTCGGCAGCTCCAGCAGAAACATGATAGAACTAAGCATTATAAGAAGGCTCTGGACACTCAGGCAAGAAAACACTTCACAAAGTTGACTTTCAGACCTTTGCAAAGGATGCTGTTGGAAAATATTTTTTGTAGTCTTTGTATGGTAGCACAAACACAAAGTACAAGCAATGATCACTAGTGACAATATGGGGAATATAATTACTTCACATGTTTAGTCTAAGAATGATTATTGTCAGATTTGTATGTATTTCTCAAAGAATACAAAAAAGGTTTAAAGTTTAAAGTAATCCAGTTTTGATGGATATGATGATGCAGACGTGACTAACTTTTTTTGGATATGGAATTCTTAACATGATAATTATCAACATTATGAAATTCAGCGAATATGAAAAATCAAGAATCTTTCTCCGGAATCACTGACTTTCCCTTCAAGAAGACCCAAACAATGATGATATTCACTCATTCACTCTTTGTCAACCACTTGTTGTTGTGTACAAGGTCACGGATGATGATATTCATACAGGTTATAAACGTCCTTCAATTTCAACATGTTTTACTAACATTTGTAGCCAGTTGTGGAGAATACATAGTAATTGGTTGTCATGATAATGTTTGAATGTTTTACTCTGATTAACATAAAAGCTCTGGTTCTATTCTGCTCTGATGCTGCTGATTTCTGAAGAATCTCAGCTTCAATTATGGATGGTTATGGATATCTAAATTTGCTACTGTGTTGTTGAGGTTGAGGAAGGTTGTAGCTCAAAGGAAGGCAGCAGAGTAAAGCTACCACTCATCCTGCCAGACAAGGGCACGAGAGTGCAATGCTAAAATTGGTGTTGTGCTCATTTAAGTGCAGCAGATTTGCCAGCTTTTTGGTGGACCAAAATGCTGTTTTTGCACATGTTGTGTACACGCACATGTGTTGTGTACGCATCTACAAAATAAAAGTTGCATGATTATTTGAGGGGGAACTTGGTTTTTGGAATATCAACACACAAAAAACAAAATTTTCATTTGGCTTTGTTTCAAAGTGTATTATACCATGGCCTGCTCCATACTAACAACTGAAATGAGTCTGTTCTGTCCTTTAGGTGGGAGATAAGAAGTGCACAGACCCTCCAGAGTGCCAGTCTGACAACTCTGGGTATAACCGCATGGAGACAGCAACCAACAATGCAGAGAGCCGAGAGAGGGCACAGAAGGTCTCCTCTGTTTCTTATTGCTGCCATACCCCTTGATTTTCAGTTGCTGCTTCATGCAGATGGCACAAATAACAATGGCCATAGTTGTTAATTATACAAACTATACTGCATTGCTTTTGCTTTTTGCAGTGGTAGAAGAGGTACTCAGATCATTTACTAAAGTAAAAGTAGTAAAACCACAGTATAAAAATACTCAACATGTAAAGTCATGCATTAAACATGAAATATTATCAGCAAACTGCACTAAACTTATCAAAAGTGAAATTATTCAATTATGCAGAAACACCAAAGAGTCATATTATTATATAGGATTATTATCATTGATGCATTAACATGTAAATAGCATATTCATGTTGTCGCTGGTTGATGTGTAGATGACTCTAACTTCTTTACAAAACAGTAGGGTAGCTTTAACTTGAAAAATGCATCTGATTTTATTTGTTGATCCTACATTTTGTACATAAACTGCAATGTAACTAGTACCATCAGCTGTTACATAAATGTAGGGTAGTAAAAAGTACAATATTTCCTTCTGAAATGTTGTGAAGATGAAGTAAAAAGCAGCATAAAATGTAAATACTCAAGTAAAATACAAGCACCTCAAAACTGTAGTGAGATACAGTACTAGTAAATCTACCTTTTTTTTGGTATTCACATACATATAACCCCACAAATAACCGCAGGCCTGTTACTGCAAGTCTGGTTTTTAAATTGGTTTACTACATATTGAAGCTGAATCTGTATACTGGCAGCTCTTCCAGATAAATTTCAGTGCTGCCACTCAGAGGAAGAAGGAACAACTTCACAACCGCCGAGAACAGGTGGAGAAAGAGAGAGAAATGCTTAAACACAACAAAATTGAGTGAGTAACGGAAGAGGAAATTACTAAAATGATAAACAATTAAGATCTAGTGATAATAAGTAGCATCCTTCATTCAAAACATATTTTTGTCTGTGGAAAATATGGTTCTTTGTTTTTCTCTGGTAATGTTTCCTGTCCAGGTTAATATTGGGCCACATTAATCGCTTTGAGAAGAAGCAGGAGATTAGTAAGTCACTAGAGAATGAGTGGAGTCGCAGTGCGAATCTCAAACACCAACAAGAGGAAGAAGAGAGGCGCTTCCTGAGGTATGTGGATGTAGGATCACCTCAGCATTCACCCCTGCTTTTACATCTATTCATATGTTCATAAGTTGGTTAACCATTCACACACTCACTCACTCTAATTAGCATTAATTATGTTGCATCCTTGGGGCAACTAGATCAACAGTTAATGTTCCTAATTTTAGTTTTGGACCTGGACATAACTATAAGATCGATATCTAAGACACTATGGGCCCATTTTGTTAGTTATCTTTCTTTCAAGAAATTATTTCCTGTTCATTCATTTATCCTTCCATGCTTCACTCTGTCTCCCTGCGGTCAGGTCTGCTGGTCAGCTCCTGGTAGATAAGCTTGCACAGTACAAGCGCTGCTACCAGTGTAAGAGGAGGACCACCAACTGTGGAGAGACCAACATCTGGAAAGACTCTCATTACCTCTCTGGCTCCCAGTTCATGATCTGATGAACAGTGTCGCCTACAGCAGCACTCAAACATCACTATCCCACAGCCTAAACGAGACCACAACTCTTGTAACTCGAATACTTAGATGTTATGGTGTGCAGCATGTGCTATCCTCTTAGATTTATTCTTCTTCTTTCCGAAATTAGTCTTTGAAATTCATTTTGGTTGTACTTTTTTTCATACTTGTACTGAACACCTCTAGTTTGTGTATGAAAAAAGGTATAGTGTTAATGTGCTGGTTTTTATTCCATTCAGAAACCTCTCTACCGCCCTAGCAACCACCTAGTAACAGCATAACAACCTGCAGAAACACCCTGTTAACCATCTTGAAGCACCACAGAAACCTCCTGGAACACCCTATCAATCACCTTAAACATCCAGGCAGCCTCATATTACTCATATTAATACCCCAGCAACCACACCAAACACCAAAACAATCACCTAGCAGCAATGTAGTGAGACAGTGAGCAACTTACCAAACACTTAAGAAATTACAAAGAGCTCAGGAGAAAGGGCTGCACCCTAACCACTCAACAATTAATTGCAAATGCCCTGTATGTTATTTAGTAACACCTCGACTTACACTTATGCTGCACAGAGTGAGACACATTTTTTACAGTTTTGGTTTATATGAATAAATCTGACTTGAAGTGACTCCAGCAAAAACGTGTCCAAGATAAATTTGTTCAAGCAGAAAGTCCAAGTAATTTACCTTTAAAACATTTATGGGAGCGCCTTTTTTGCCTTTATCTGCACGCCTATTCTTACTGTATGATTATTTCTTTGTGTTATAACGTATTAGTATGTTTCTCTGACTTTTCACATTCTTTTTTTTGTATTGTGCAAATAAATAAACAGACAAACAAATCTCTATTACGTGGCTCTGATTTAGTTTGGACCCAGACAGGCCCAGTGTATTAATGAGAGACTGTGTATCATTAAAGACCAGATGGGTGAACAATAAGTAGCTACAGTAGATGCAATAGCATGCAAGTAGAAGTTAATGCACTTAAGTACTTTGTAAATATACATGCTCAGTTCAGAATAAATAAGAATCCTCTGCAGTCTACATACAGTAGACTATAAGGCAGGCTAGGCAATGTTATCAGATTAAGTTTGTTGACTGGTACATTTTTATTGCTTAGGCAAAAAACAAAACATGACTATTAACATAAAAAAAATCTGATTTTGAAAAACTTGAAAAAATTTATGGTTTTCGTAAGTACAGCACAGTGGCAGCAGGAGTAAAGAGCCTGCCGTCTGTCTTGTCCTAGGACATAACATACTTTAAAGAGTAGCTGCCCCATATCTTACCCTGACGAGCAATGACAGAGGTTTTCTATGCTACAATACATACAGAGAAGGGCATTACTTATACAGAGGTGAAAAGCAAGGGGGGTCCAACATTGCCCCAGGTTTGTGAGAGCTGAAGTAGTAAAACACAAAAACACAAATCTTCATAAGTCAAAACTATTCGGAGCAAAGCGAAAATAAAACAAGATAAGGATGAAAGAAGGTATGTGGCTTTGATACGGGAGGATGGGTTCTTGCAATGGGGAGTTTCTATAGATGATAAATGTGTTGCAGGATCATGACAATATTTGTTTGGCTGTGGTCCCAGTTCTCTGTGAAGCCAGAACTCCCATAAAGAGCTCATGGGGGCATTTTGAAAGTATTTCTACTGAAACAGATGTACATCTAACTAACCCACACAGTCTGAATCATAATTTACTAACTGACAGATAAATTATGCGTATGGACAAAGAGATGTGTGTGTGTGTGTGTGTGAGTGAGTGAGAGAGACATGATCCAGAAGAGGATCCACCCTTTTTTGTAAACAGACCCAGATCTTCCGTTAAACTAGTTGTTGTACAACATATTACTTTTGCAGACTTACTCCAGATCCCAGGAGTACTTTGAAAACAGTACTGGTCTTTGGGAGTGCAGGTGACCACATTTTTCATAAGCTTGTAAATATTACCTGATATATATAAATGGGGAAATACATACAAATGTCAGAGATACAGTCAAATCTGTGCCAAACTGCAGGTTTTAACCAAATTCAGGGAGTGAGACATTCCTCAACAACTGACACCAGACAACCACTAGTCTCTGTGTTTTTCTGCCTCAAGCGTTTGTATGTGACCCACCCATTTCCTGCTAAGTGTTGTGGTGTGTTATATTAGTGATTTAATAAGCCCTTGCTGGCTGTGTTGTACTCTGAAAACTAAAGTGGACCCTAAGAAGAACCGAGGGAGTGAACATGGCTTGTGCTTCAGGGTAAGTGTGTTTCATTTTCAAGTTCAAGTCTCCCCATAAATTATGAACAAGCCCACAACTATTTGTTGAAATGCAACAAAAGCTCTTAATGCTATTTTACTAATCCTATTTCTAACAGGGATTACTTCTCTGCGTGGTTTCTTGGACTTGAATGTTGAATTAAATACTGAGGATTTAGAACTTGGAATGAAGGTTTGATGAACTACAACATTAGCTGTGTATGGACTCATCGTTTTTTAATTGGGCTCACTGAGGTGATGTCTAAGATGAGTCACTGGATTGTGGGGGTTTTTGAAGGGTGGACAGCACTGCCTCATGGGGTATCTGCTCCCCTGTGAGAAGCAGGCAGCAGGAGACCAATGACAACATATATTATGCTGTTTGTCATGCACATGATGACCAATGGGATTATGTGAGGCTAAGCAAAAGTGTTCTAAAATGTGAACTTATTTCCCCTGGAGAAAATCTGTGAAATGAAAGAAACTTGTGAAACAAAGTAAACACCCTCTATTTCCCTCTGTCTCTTTCTGTTTCCTCAGCCTTTCTTATGTGCGTTTCTGTGTGTTTCCAGATTCCCAGGGCTAGTAGATCTACTGTGATATCCATCCTAGTTTTACTGGCAGACAGCTTGTGGTTGGCCTTTTGACAGTTAGTGACCGAGCTACATTTCAGATCCAGATGTTCCCACCCTGCCCACACGCCATCTCACAATGACCAGAGTACAATCCCCATAAGCCAAACACATCGTGAGAGCGGATGGGCTGTGTCATTGAATGACAACCAGCACATGATCAGTTGTTTACACTCTGAGAGAAACTAATGGAGAACGATACTGGTGTGTATGTCCAGTAAGAAAACCCATTATGTGTGGAGTGTGAATACAAATTAAACGAGCAATAGAACAAAAAGGTAATTGTATGTTCATGTAATTCAGATGCTATCACCATGAACACTGTGTCATGCGAAAGGAAGAAAAGTTGGTCAAAGTCAATATTTTATATTTACAATGGATCAAATGACTAAGCATAATGTGAAAGACGCTGCTCATGGTGTCAAATCCACAGGGAATTACTCTGTGTACTGTGTACTCTGTCTACTCTGTTCTCTCAGCTCTACATTTTAACATCTTACAGCTCATTGTTTTGGTTTTATGGGCCACAATTTTACTGTTTTAGTCAAGCGGCAATCTCAGGGTTTGAAAAGTGAAGCCAATGTGGAAGTGCCTAAAAACTGAATTCTTTCTAATGGCCAGCAGGGGGGGTGACTCCACTGGTTGCAAAAAGAAGTCTGATTGCATTGTAGTCAATAGCAAAATGACCCTACTTCTCACTTGATTTATTACCTTAGTAAACACTTTTCTAATGAGTTCATGGTCTCAATGGCTAGTTTCAAGTCTTCTTCAATCCAGCATGATGTTCATTTTGTAAATGATTGTCCCATTTAGAGGAAAATAAACAATAAAAAAGGGTATGCTTCAGGGTATGGCTACCTTGTGACTGACAATTTGCTACCTGTCAATCAAGATCAGCGTTAAGTTGTACTAAAAGACAGAAAGGCGGTTATTAATTTTTTCCATAAAAAAGAGTCAAGGGTTGCAATCAAATCATTCTCACTTACAAAAAATCCAAATTAGAAATCAGAAAGATTTGATGATGATTAGGGAACAAATGTGTATTTATCTTAAAAATCAAGATCTGCTATGGATTGGAGTCATTTTCAGCATCTCCGAGGAACAAAAGCTGTGTTCTGTGACAATACCAATGCAGGCTGAGCACAGAAGAAACTACGCCTGCTCCCTCAACCCCTTTACAGCGTGTCTTACATATGAACAGGAGTACACACACACACACACAAACACGCAACCAGAGGGCATCTCTTGTCACACACTCTTGGCGATTGGTTCACTTCAAAAAATTCATTTCCTGACAAAAATATACTTCTACTGTCCTCTTGAACCCTCCGCCTTTCCTGCTCCTCTTCCGATAATAAGGTACGCCTATCCCAATGGTTCACACACGAATGACCTTAGCACACACATACACGCAGATACAGCAGATAAATTATTTGTAGTGTTGCCAGGGGAAAGCCGTAGTTGTGATTTGAACTTGAACAAAACTTCATCCTTGACTTCCTCATTTCCCCTCCCTCACCTTCTAATCTCTCATCTCTTCCTTTTTTATGCACATTTAGCTTTTTCTCTGACCAGCCATAAAATCATCAAACCTTTCCTTTCTTTCTGCTCCGCCTTCTTCCCCTTGTCTTGTTTTACTCTTTGACTTTGATTAATTTCCTTAGATGACTTCCTTTCCTCCACCACAAGTATTTCCCCGATCTTACTTTTATCTAACCCTAGTGTTTGCCCGTCCCCAGTGTATCATCTGAAGTTCCTGTCCACCTAAACCACATATGTCTTCAGTTATAAGCATGAAGACACAGCTGCTGCAGCGAGCCCATATTGGCAGCAACACAGGGAAGTCAGCATGGATGTGCCAAAGTGCATGCACGTGTTGTGGTTTGTGGTACAGTGAAGTTAAATTGTACCACACAGTACAATGTTTCATTTGAAAGTATTTTTCAAGCTGAGAGTTGCTTCACAGCACTTACACTGCTCAGTCAGTGAGCTGAAATTCACACTTAGCATTTTTACATTTTTATTTGCTAAAAGGTGCAGATGAACTTTGCATTTTAAACTCCTTTGAACTAAAACAGCAGAAAAAAATTTCTGCTGTGTCCTTTTGTGCACGCACTTGCGCATATGTGAAGCTGTAAATTCTAATAGCTGTCATAACTTGCATAAATGAGCTGTAATTGGTTGTCAATAATATGTGCTTCTTACTAGGTTTTATAAAGTAATGGTTAATTGCATGCTGAAAAAAGCTATTTACTTATTGTTTTGAGTGAAGATAACTTGGTTTAAGTTATCTTAACTAGTTTAGAGCGACTATTTAGGAACGCTTCCTAACAGCAATCAACGCTGGGTGTGAGCATGCGCAATAGTAACCACCAACGGAAAGTCACCTGCTTAGGACCACATGGTGCCGATCGGACTGTGCCAACTCATTTGCTGGTAACTGGACGTTTTTGTTGCTTGTGGAACAATAAGGTAAGTTATCAAGCAAGTAATATTTGTGTGTTAATTTGTGCTTTTGTCTGCTGTTGCAACATTTGCTAACATTTGTTAAACATTAACTTAGTTAACAGGCATAGCACAAGTTCAGGCATGTTTTGGTGGCTTTCCACAACCATCCACCTGAAAACCAACTGCTCCAGAAGGAAAGCGAAAACTCTCAAATGTAAGCTACAGTATTTTTCTGTCTTTTGTTGAGTTGGCACAGTGGATGCATTTTGGTCGCAGGTTGGAAATTAACAACACAGAAATTCCTAGTTACAAATGAACGTACCAATGAAATTTGCTGCTTAAATTGGGCAGAGGAAACGGAAAACAAGGCTAGTTGTAAGCCAAGTTAGCCTGCACAAAGTTTGTAGCCACGTTTGTCAGACAATTAGGAGACCATAAGTTATTTAACTTTACTGCTGATTTCTGTTTTAAACTTGGAGAACACATGTTGAAGGTTGGAAAGTAACACAACAGTAAGCTAACTTTAACATTAATTAGAATTTCTACACTTCTACAACAAAGAAGGGACTTCAGTGCCACACCACCACTTAGCTTGCTCTTGCTCTACCTTGCAACTGTCACTGAAATTAGTGTGAACATTAGTATTAGCAAGTCTGCTGTCTGTTGCAGAGTGCCAGACACCTTGAACATGAAACATAGATCAGTGCATAGTAGCTGTGTCTCTTTGTCATGTTTCTTGTGTCTTTGAGTTGTTTTAACATTATACACCTTTAGGTGCATGTTTGAATAAAAGGTGTAGTATAAACAGAGTTAGGATGAGTTCAGAACTTTTCCCAAATTTCTACTTACTCTATTTAGTGTGCCTTTTCACAGGATAGCCATGACAAACCTGGATAGTGACTTTTTAAGTGCACTGCAACACACAACACTTTGTCACAATCTTCAAGTCAAGGAAAGGAAGTGCTGGAGAGAAACTGGCTGAGATTGTGTAGCAAATTGATTCAAAGGTCAGTTTACTACAGACTTTGTTACAGTTCTTGCTGTGTATTTGATCTCAATATCACTTCTCCAATCAGCAACTGTTTTTCACTTTTAATGTTGCATAATTCTGAACTTTATTTGCTCTGAGAAATCAGATGTAGCAGCAGTGCGTACCTTGTTCTCCAAGGCCTCCCTAATCTGCTCAGTGATGAGGCCAGTAACTTCTGCAACACCTCCTTGGTAAGTTATTTGTATTTGATGGTATTTTACTGAGAGCTGGATAAAAAGATTAATACTGAAGACATCCCTGTGAGTTCAGTACAAAAATAGGCTGCATGCTAACTGTGACAGTTTAGTTTATGCCAGTATGTGATCCTACCAGCTGTAACTGCAGTAACAGCCAAATAAATTTTACATGAAGAAGACATTACTGCTTAATTTCATTATTGGTTTTTACTGGATGTCTGAAAGCGGGTAAAAACGTGTTTAAGGCCTACTAATGTTGATTAAACTGCAAGGTGCTGTAAAGTGAAAACTTAATAAAAGTGCAGAAGAGCAGTGGATGACTTGGTGCCAATTAATAATCAACATTTCCCTGTTGAAATGGGATTTTACTTTGGTTGTATAAAGGATTTTGACAGTGATGAGGCCTGGGCAAAAGTATCTGTTGGGTTGCTGACAGTCATCATTGAAGATGCACCTCTCTCCAAATCATCTCCATCCTGACCCAGTGTCCTCTGACACCTTTCTTGAAGGAGGTATTGTAATGGACAATCTCCAGAACCTACCTCAAACACTTGTTTGGGCTGTCCTATGTGCCACACTTGGACTACCCTAAAACAATGGAAAACACATTCAACGAGCGATCCTTGGCCTGGGAGAGAACAAACTCCCCACTAAACTTTAAACTCCTCTTGAGTTACATTGTTAATAATCAAGAGTGACATTTGGGATAAGATCTCATTTGTTTATGAATATGGTTCCAGTTGCTATTGCTATTTGTTACATAAGTAAAGCAGTTGTTGAGGATTATATGTTAAATTAAAAATCAGGGTTGAATTTTTTCACCACGACAAATATTTCTTGTCTTCCTATAAAGCAAAGGCTGGCAAATAGTAGAGGAAGATTATTAAAGAACCAATGTATGCAGGCAGACAGGCAAAAATAAGACATACCCCTGGATGTTGCTATCACTTTTGCTGAATGTGTTTTTATTTTATGGCTGTGTAATTTAGCTGTTGCTTTAGGCTGCTTTAGTTGTTGTTCTGTGACAAGATATTCTGGGGTTGACGCTAATAACTTGACATTGGTAATTTTAGTCTGAATATTTTGTGTGGTACTACACTAATAGTAATGACTCACATTTGAATCACCCCTTCTCAAAACCGATTGGCTTCTATATCAGCTGTCTAAGGTGCAAATTTCACTAAGCTTTCCCGCTAAATATCTCTGTTAATTAAGTACATTCCCCCAAATTAATATTCTTTGATTAAAAGGAAAGGGTCAAATTTCAGACTGCATGTGTGTATGTAAACTGTGGGAGATGGTAGTAAATATAAGCATTATCCTTTATCCTTTAGATCCATTAGACTTCCGATTAAGAAGAAAGTAAGTATACACCAAAACAACAATATAATAAAAAATCTGTCAAGTCAAGAACTCAAAATTGGGATAAATTACAGTCAGAAATACAGAAATGACAAATGTCAAGGTTCAAAATGTTTAAAAATACACAAATTTTTAAAGCTTTGACTTCAAATTTGGAAATGAAATTCTAATGGTTGAGGTTTAACAAATTAACCTGTTCCAACTATAATGTGGTTGTGTCTTAAATATTTCTATTTTATGATACTTTATACTTCTTCTCCACTACATTTGTGACTAGTGTATAGTGAGTTGGCATTGCAGAGTTAACATATAGTTCAGCATTGACGGGTGTTTGGAAATATCTGATTGATTAACAATTTTATTTGAATATAAAACCTTTTTACTTTTTTTATTTTAATGAATTAATGGACTTACTCTGAATGGGACACAGTATAAAGGATGTTTGAAGTACTTAATTTACACAAGTAAATTAATGTACTTACTTTCAGCTACAGACAAAAGCTAGCTCAGACTCTGTGACTGCATGCAGCAGAAGCATTTTCGGACCACACCGTTCTGGGGACTCCCTGAGAGGAACTGCCCACTGGCAAGCTCCCCCAAGAGCTATAGGTGCTTCTCACAAAATTAGAATATCGTGAAAAAAGTTTCCCCGTAATTTAAGTCAAAAAGGGAAACTTTCATATATTCTAGATTCATCACACATGAAGTGAAATATTTCAGGCCTTTATTGTTTTAGTCTTGTTGATTACAGCTTACAGCTCATGAAAATCTAAACTCCATATCTCAAAATATTAGAATAAAGAATTATAATGTCGACTTGAGAAGAGCCTTTAAAGAGGTGGTATTATGGTTGTTGGCTTTTTCCCTCTTCTTTATTGAGTTATATATCTTTTTTGTGCATGTACCATGTTTGCAAAGTGAGAAAGCCCAAAGTCCGCCCCAAAGGGAGTTCCCATCTCCCACAGAAAACACTGCTCTGAACTGCCTGAAAACAACTTGTTTGTAGTCTAGTCTTTACTTCCCTTTCTTTTGCCCTCAAAAACACCAGTGGAAAAACACTGAGCTGCAGCACACCTCTCCTCTCCCTTCCAAACACTAGCTACCCTCCAAGCAGTCAGTGCACATGAAGTTGTAACTGTGATGTAGAGACAGAGCTCAGTTAAAAATGTATGGATGAAAGATACTTTTGTTACAGATTAATAACTCACCACTCTGAAACTCTTGCTCCAGTCCAAATTGCCAACATGTTGGCAACATGTAGCCTACAGCTGAATCGAAGCTGTTTACTGTCTATTCGCTGACCTGCCTTTCTCTGCTTCTGATTGGCTATTACCGGACCTGCCCTTCTCTGCTTCTGATTGGCTAGTAGTCCTTAACTAGGAACTGTGCATGTGCAACTCCCAACAAAGATCATTTAGAGACAAGATGTATCACTCCATAGCTAAAACGAAGCCTTCAACACATAGGGTGAAAAGAGGAGCTGCAGCAATGTGCAGTATGACAAAAAACATGGTGTTTTTTGAAAATTAAACCATGTAAACCTGTTCTGGTACAACCCCTAAATAAGATTTTGAACCTGAAAATGAGCATAATACCACCTCTTTAATCTCTCAGTCTGGTTCAGTACACACAACCACAGTCATGGGGAAGACTTCAGACTTGACAGTTGTCCAGAAGACCCACGTTGACACAGGGTAAGCCACAGAAGGTCACTGCTAAAAGGGCTAGCTGTTCGCAGAGTGCTGGATCAAAGCATATTCATGGAAAGTTGACTGGAAGGATAAAATGTGGTAGGAAAAGGTGCACAAGCAACAGGGATGACCGCAGCCTTGAGAGGACTATCAAGCAAAGCTGATTCAAGAACTTGGGAGAGCTTCACAAGGAGTGGACTGAGGCTGGATTCAAGAGCCACCATGCACAGATGTGTCCAGGAAATGAGCTACAAGTGTTGCATTGCAAGTTTCAAGCCACTCCTGAACCAGAGACAACGTCAGAAGTGTCTTACCTGGGCTGAGGAGAAAAATAACTGGACTGTTGCTCAGTGGTCCAAAGGCCTAATTTTTAGATGAAAGTAAACTCTGCATTTCATTTGGAAATCAAGGTCCTAGAGCCTGCAGGACATGTGGAGAGACACAGAGTCTCTATGATTTGTGGTGCATTCTCCAGTCCAGAGTCAATGCAGTTACCTACTAGGAGATTTCAGAGCACTTCATGCCTCCATCTGCTGACAACCTTTTATGTATTATACATTCTGTATTCTAGTATTCTAATAGTTTGATTTGGATGGATATGGATTTTTCATTTTGTGAAAATCTGTACATAACTTATGTTAACAAGATGGAGGATGCTGTTGGAGCTTTGTCTTTGTTGTGTTTCGTGGGTTTCATAATGGAGTTGGAAAAGAGATGGAGTGTTAAGAGATGAAAACTCTTAACGACAGTTGGCAGTTAAGCTCAAGGATGAGAGAAGAACACAGTACGGCGGACAAAGGAGATGGTTAACTAACTTTAACAGTGTCTTATTTTAGTTTTATGTGAACAAATTAATTCAGGGGAATAACCAGGGATGGCTGCAAACTATGAACAACACGCAAAATCTTCCTGTAGGTCTAGTGTAATGTTAGCAAGCCAGTTAGGACCACACAGCATGTAAATTAGACAATTTTGTAGTTTCTAGAGTAGAGAGAAACTGCCTCCCCACACGTCCAGACCCCAGGTCAAGCTAAGATAACCAGTCTATAAACACACAAAGATAAAATGAATACCAAACCACCATCAAACTTTACCCCCATCTCTCTCATGACATTCTGGTTTGGTTCAAAAGCTACACTGAGGCTGACAAAAAGGCAATACAGAGAGTTATTAAATCAGCTCAGAACATCGCTAACACACAGCTGTCTTCTTTCACTGACATATATAACCCGATATCTTTGTTGGGCCACAAACATAATCCAGGACTCATCTCACCCAGGTTCACTCTGCTGCCCTCTAGGAGACGCTATAGGTCTATTCAGACCCATACCTTCAGACCCCTGAACAGCTTAATTCCGTGTGCCGTAAAAAAAAATGTGAAACTGTGAAGCGAACTTTGGGACAAATGCAATATCATGGCTGAGTGCAGCCAGCTATGCAATGCCTTTATGATTAAATTATTTGCATGAGTTGTTGTCTTTTTAGCTTTCACCATATGCATCATCACGGCTGAGTGCAATATTACTGACACACTGATTGTACAGTATCTTTTATTACTGGTGATACCACTTTTTTGAATATATGTGAGTTTCTGTCAGTTATTCACTTGTATTATAGCTTTTTATCTGTATTTGATTGTACACTGAGGGGAGTCGCACTTAAAGCTTGTTTTACTATGCTCAGTGACAATAAAGCATTCTGACTTTAAAACTCCTGGTAAAATGGCAAACAAACACTCAAACAGTCATTAAAAAAGAAGAGAGCTTCCTTTTGAATACATTGGCCTTTATGGAAAACAGTCAAATTGTGACAATGAGGTTCACAGCATAAAAAGGTTTTAGCCACACACACACACACACACACACACACACACACACACTGTGTCATCACTTGGTAATCAGCTATAGTTCATTCTCTCAGATCCCTCTGTACTTGTTCTGTGTACTTTAATAACTGAGACAGAGGGTGTCTCCAGATATTATAAAGAAACAGGTCCCAGTAAGCTGCAGTTTCGGGTCGAGTCTGACAGCACAAGATGGAAATACTTTTTTTTATACAAGAGTTTGGCAGATAACACAGGGAGGAGCCTCTAGAGATTTCAGTATGATCCAGCTGTAAGCAGATCATGGTAAAGGTATTGCAGAAACATGACTGATTACTCTGCTGCTCTCTGCCTGAACACAAACACCACATTTGAAGTCAGTGTGTGTGCTTGTTTGTGTATGTGTGTGTGGTTGTCTGTGTCTGAATGGGATTCAGTACAATACCTCCATTCCAGCCCTTTAATTACCTGCTGCTAATGAGTGGTGTCTTGATAGATGGGAACAGCTGGGAATGGACGAGAAATAAAGAAAGAATTTTGATAACCTGCCAAAACCAGCAAACAAGGCCACTGTGTGTGTGTGTGTGTGTGTGTGTGTGAGGACATTCTGGTCATTTCTCATAGTATAAAAATGTAAATGTAGGGTTTAGTAAAATATTGGTTAAGGTTGATTACAGCTCAACTAATACCTGTTGTTACGGTTGGATCAAATATAAATGTGACAGACAAACTTAAGATGGACATACTGAGGCCTTAACATTCAGACGGCCAAAAGCACAACTCCAAATGCTATTGTTGCTCAATGTCTGCTGAATGTGTGGGTGTTAGCTTACACAACTGCAATATTCCACAAGGAATACGTTTCAATAGACTATATCAACTATAGCAAAGCCAGGATGTGTGCGTGTGTGTGTGTTTGTGTGTATATATCTGTGTGTGTTTGTGGACTGCCGCTCAGGTCCAAGATCATCACGTAACATAACATAATTACTCACTGACCTGAAGTAGAGCCAAACTGGCTGCAGGCCATTTCCTGCTGTAGCCCCTGATCCAGATTGAATGTATTCAATATTCAACACTTCAACTTTAACATGATAGATTACTGTGGAAAAAAAATGCAATCAGAAATATTTCAGGCACAGATCCTTGGAGGAAATGTTGGATTACATTTGTATCCTACTGAGAGGCAAACTGTAAAAGGTGCATCCATCTTAGTCAAAAACTATTTCTGCTTTTTTAAGGGAATTATTCTGCCAAAACGCCACTTGTTTCAACTGCAGATACACTTGGTAAGAAATTCTCTAAAAGTGTCAAGAGCTGGAAATGAAGAAAGATAAGACAGGTCAGCAAAATGACATATCTCAAATGAGGTAATGTAGTGAATTTGATGAAAGAAGTGAATTTTTCCACAGTTAAGCATGTTTTTCCTACTTTATTAAAGAAATTCTATAAAAATTCAATGTACCTTGTTAAGGTTAAAGGTATCACACACACAATAGACGAGACGGGGCAAAAGGAAACAGCCTTAAACACTGGAATATTCCCACTGTCATAAAAACATGGAAAACCCCTTTGTCGAGATGATGCAGAGGTCTCCCTCCTGCTGTGAACACACCCCTTCCCACACGGAAGCTCTCATTAACCCGAAATGCTCCACACTTCCTGCTGGTCAGTGATTGTGCCCTGGTTAAGGGGTTACTATGGCAACAGTTGTTTTGTGGGAGCAAGGGTGTCTGGGTAGAGGTCAAACAGAGAAATGTTGGTGTCGTCTTAACGCAGAAGCAGACTGCATAGTAACAAATCTTGTGTTGTTTGTATCTCAGCCCGTCACCTCATGCAAGTGTCATGCAGCTTTAATGTTACAGTAGCGATATAAAGACTGGCAAATACAGTGGGTTTTTTCTTGTATCTGTTAAATGTTGCTGTTTTAGCTCATTCAAATAGAAATTTCACCTTTTCCCGAGGGATGCTGGGCAGTTCTAAAGTTGCATGTATTTGATTCATGTGGTGATATAAACAAACAAAAGTGCCATGATGCTTGCAAGGCTTTCTTGCTAACAGGAATCTTTTGTTTACTTAAATTGTCCGTAAATTAAATTCACTTTGCTGGGGAGAAGGGGCATGAACATTTTCGGCTTGACAGAAAAAGTTTAAGAACCACTGGGTTAGGGGATCACCAAAATTATTAAAATATATCCTGAGGGGGGAATATGGACTATGAAACAAATGTTGTAGCTATAGACGCTTTTCACGACAGACAATTTGACTAGTCAACGCAGGGAAAAGCACAGATGTAATTAATACCATCAATGATGGCTCTGTTCTATTTAATTGTCAGAGAGCCAGTGTGCACAATACCAGAGTTGCTGGAACTGGTTCACCTAACAGGAATGCAGATAAGTCAAAATGTCTGCCATGAAAAGTATCTATCCAGATAATATTTGTGAGTCATTTCATTCAAAATCATAAATGTGAACTTCATGGTGGCACTAGAGGAAAGGTTAATAGACCACTAAAGATACTGGTACACATACATGGATATCTATACCAAATCTTGCATGAATCCATCCAGTAGGTGTTGAGATATTTCACTGGATAAGTGACCTGCTGGTGCTAGAGGACTCAGGGGGTGACCCAAATCATTAGGATTCATCAGAGGACCATGAATGTCTGTACAAAATTTCATCTTAATCCATCCAATAGGTTCATGGTGGAAAATCAAAATCTGAGTGTAACATAATTAACCCAAATA